ATATAAGAAAACAATATATATATATATATAAGAAAACAATATATATATATATATATATATATAAGAAAACATATATATATATATATATAAAGAGAGAGAGAGAGAGAGAGAGAGATATCCATCTTATATCTACCTTATATCCATAAGATGACCTAAACTTCCTGTAGAAATAATGACATATAATATTTCTCCTCTAGCATTGTGTCATTTATCCATAATCAAACAGTAGCAAAGATAGCATTTATTTGTACTTTGCACATGAAGTGATACTAAAAGAAAGCAAATAATGAAAAAAGGGTGCACCTGTAAAATTACAAACATGTGCAAATCTCATTCACTTCCAGATATCAACTTTCCAGAAGGAAAGTGAGGAAAAGCTCATCACAGAAATAAAACCCTGCCTCTAAGAGCAGATTGAACTTCACTCTCAGGTTTATTGTAGTAAATCCTGTGCTTGCTACTGACTGCGTCCAGCAGGCTGTCATCTACTACCATGCAGACTAATCCAACTTTTTCACTGAACAAAAATGAGAATGTGAGACAAGCTTTCCTTGAAGAAACTAAAGCTATATTTTCTCCTGTTTCCTATTATATATCAATGGGAAGCCCTTCCACAAAACATGTTGACATTAATACTTCTTAACAACTGGTGGTCAGAGATATGTCACTTCCAATTCTGGAAATGATATATAGCCATCATATTAATGGTAGTCATGGATACTCATCCCCCATGAAAATTGTTCCTTTCTCTTCAAAACCCATTCAAAAATATAGTCTTTACTATGCAGTCTCCAAATTCCTTTATTTTAATTGTGTGATATGTAAAGATTACCTTGCTTTTTTTCTGAATCTCTCATAATTCAGTTAAATCATCCAATACTAGAGACTGGTCAATGGATGAGATTCTATTGAACAAACAACTGTGAACAGCTTTTGTTTTTAGAGTACACAGAATTGAGATGAAACCAAAATAGTAAAAGCTTCACCAGATACAACAATTCCACCTATCCAGCATTTGGAATTATATTTAAAAAGTATTAATAAAATCTGCTCTTCCCTCCAAGAAATAATATTTTGGAGGGTAACATTTTGATCTCAGAGGTATATTTCATATTTTTATGAAATGTGTACAATTGTGTCTTTTGTTTTCTAACCACGATTAATTAAGTGGATATTTCCATACCAGCAATTTCAACTCCTAAAACTTGAATGCAGACTGAATTATCTCTGTTTGTTACTTTTCAATTCATAATACTAACAAGTACTACAAAATACTTTCAATTTGATGCTCATACTTCATACCACTTGACAAACAGAACATGTTTTATTCAAGTATATCAAACAACCAAGAGAATTAAAAACAGGCACTGGAACAGTTTTATCATGTATCTTCAACCATAGATCTCCTCGGAAGAAGTGAAGTATTTTCTGAAACAGATTTAGGACGTTTTTAAAGGGAAAGGTATGGTGTCAGAGGCAGCTTTGGTTGGCTTTATGTAACATTAAATATAACCCCAATAGATTAAATCCAAGAGTATTAAAACCACATAACAACTATTAGTGATCATATTGAAATGTATTGATGTTCAATTTTTTCCCCTAAACAATGGAACTGCTGTTTCAAAACTACCATGTTCAAATAAAAGGAGGAATTAATACTGAATCAAACACAAGCCTCCACAGCAGGAGAATTCTTTGGAGAGGCAACAATTTTAGACAAGACGTTAAATGCATCTGTTGAAAAATATTGCTTTGGAATGTATAAAATGATGATCATCTATACTTTCAAAATTATAGAGGGACCTAGAAAATGCCTGCAAAAGTATAGCAGTATTTCACCTTGACACTTCTCAGTGCTGTTCAGTTGAATTGTTACACGAGATGGCAGAATCTAATGAAATTCAACACATTATAGATTCTCATCTATATTTTTATATCTGATTGCAAACAGCCAGTTTTTCCTCCCAAACATCCCAGAAGTAACATGCTTTTCGAAGAGAGAGCATTCTGTAACATGGGTGAAAAGTGTTAGGGTCATGCAGCAGTATGGATTCAAATGGGAAGGGGTAATTTCAACATCTTACTGATCTTTAAGATCATCTTTTCTTGGTCTCACCTGACTGCAGTTCTAGGCAACAAACAGCATGTGCGATTGAAAGAGATGCCATAAGTATCTCTTATGTATCTCTGATATACTCAAAATAAGTATATTGAACATATGTTCTGAGTCCCCTTTATATTCCTAGGATCAGATCCCTGCAATGCCTTAAATAGTATCTTGCTTGGTGTTTAAACAAATATTCAAATATTCTCAGAAAACAACAACTGAATGAAAAACTGCTGGTGACCTTCTACTGCTACACCATAGAGAGTATCTTAACTTACTGCATCTGTGTATGGTTTGCCAATTGAACAGTGGCAGATAGGACCGCACTCCAGAGAGTTAACATCATTGCTCAGAAGATCATGGGTTGCCCTCTCCCCTCTTTGGAAAAGCTTTCTAGCTCCCACTGCCTTAAGAAAGTTCAAAACATTCTCAAAGATCCATCTCATCCTGGGCACCCTTTTTCTGAACTATTACCATCTGCCAGATGGCACAGGATAATAAAAACAAGAACAAACAGGCTGAAAAAGAGCTTCTACCACCAGGGTAGTAACTCTATTGAATTCTAGCGTACAGTGCAATATTAATGCAATATCAGGGATTTTCAATTCACTGCATAGAATGTGAAGGATGTGTGTTTGTTGTTTATTTTCATAGTCATAATGTATACTGAAGATGGTATTTAATTTTGTTGTACGAGGTGCAATGACAATAAAGTAAACTAAACTAAATAAAACAAACAAAAATAATGAAATATGTGTTCGCCATTCTGCATAGCTTTTTCTTTAATTTAATCCCAAATTTGTAGTAATGTTTTATGCAAATGCTCATTGTTTTTCTTTTACATTTTAGACTCACTGAGTGCTCTTCAGTCTTTCCTAAGATTGCCAAGTCAGTTGAAATGTTTGTAAGCCTAATAAAAGGTCTTTTGGAAAAACTACTGGATTATCGTGCTGTAATGAATGATGAAAGCAAGGACAATCGTATGAGCTGTACTGTGAATTTATTGGTATGTAGCACCTTAAAGATTTGCATAAAGTTCTAAAGTTTTGAATTTGGACCAATTTACAAAGTCTACAAGCCCTTACTGCAGGAGTGTGCAACTATAAAACTTGCGGACTTCAATTCTCAGAATTTCCCAGCCAGTATTTTCCAAGATTGGCCACCCCTGCCTTACTATATTGAAAAAGATGGACAGTAGTAACAACTATTATATGACATTATTATAGATAATTATATGACAGGGAAGCGGAACCTGCAACACACCAAGATTTTATTTATTTGGGAGGGAAACTGCAACAATATAATCCAAATTTTGTAATTTAAACTAAAAACTTTGTTTCATCCACTAAACAATGCCATAAGTATGCAGAATGCACATACAGAGATGTAACATTTAACACCATGCTATGTGTGTTCGTATGTATCTCTCATGTCTTTATTTTCTGGATTGCTGTTTTTGATGCTGTTTTCTGCCCGGAGTTGCAGACAGTATTTCGGGTGTACAGGCATATACGTTGAATTAATTAAGTAATGAAAAGTACTTGGCACTTTTTGAATGTTCAAAATGATCTCACTAATTTTATTAATTTGGAAACAGTTTTATAAGATAAGTGAAAATGATTGTCCTTATATTGAGATTGGAGGGGAAGGCAAGATACCTAGTGACTACATGAATGAGCTAAGTATTTCACTGAGTAATATAATTCACAATTCACTGTTTATATACTTACACCATCCTACACCTTCCTGGGCCATAATAATCCTTATTTAATGCACATTCTTAATATAGAACGATCTACCTCCAAGTCATTCTTTCATTCTCAGATGATCACTATCTTCTATATCATCTTTTCTGTTGCCAAGTAGAGTATGTAAGATAGATAGTCCTTGACTTACAACAGTTTATTTAGTGGCCATTTGAAGTTACAACAGCTCTTTAAAAAGTGACATCAGCATTTTTCACACTTATGACTGTTGCAATAGCCTCAAGGTCATGTGATCAAAATTCAGATGCTTGCCAACTGACTCATATTTATGACAGTTGCAATGTCCAGGGTTGTTTGATTCCCTTCTCTAACCTTCTGGCAAGCAAAGTCAATGGGGAAGCCAGAGTCGCATAATAACCGTGTTACTAACTTAACATCTGCAGTGATTTCACTGAACAACTGAAGCAAGAAAGGTAAAAAAAGGGGCAAAACTCACATAACAAATGTTTCACTTAGCAACAGAAATTTGGGACTCAGTTGTGCTCATGAGTCAAGGACTACCTGTAAATGATTTTAAGTGGAGATGGAAATGTAAGTCCCATACAAAAATATGTCCATTTCAAATACAGCCTGCTCAATATATTGTTGCTATATCAAGAAAAAAGATGAGAGTTTCCTCTTTTCTTAAGAAACAAAAACATTTTATTAATGATTGTTGTGATGAAAACCAGTTTTTTCCATAATTGGCATTCATGCAAAATAGTATTTTTTTTAAATCCACATGACTGCTGTCAGATAGTAATTTGCTGCTCTATCATGTGACTTTGATGATCATGAATTCTCTCCACACTGGTTTCAGAGGGAAGTAACATATAAATAATGCATATTTATGTTAAACATGAATTGGAAGTTTTGAGATTTTAAAAATGAAACAAAGCAAAATTATTCCCTGCATATTATGCATATTTGATGAATATTATAAAAAGAACCATCCCAATTATGTTTGAGTGCAGGACTAATCTAATTTCATTCATTTTTCCTCCCAGAATTTCTACAAGGAAATTAATCGCGAAGAAATGTATATAAGGTACAGTACTTGCTCTGTTGGTTACAGGTGTCACTGAAAAGTTTAGTGCTGTTTTCTTTGCATAATCTTCAGGATTATACATGGATTTATAGTAAATATCTGGATGTAAGTTGTTCAATACAAATTATTATCACAGAAATATTGTTTGTTGCTCTACAAAGGCTCAACACATACTTTGTCAAAGTTGCTCAGTCATATACTTTAATTTTGGGGGGGAAAGGTATGTCATTTAAATAAAAAGGATCATAATTTAAAAGGACATATTTACTATGATGAATTTAATAAAATATATCATAAAATTTGCAACAATTGTAGTCTTTGTTTTGGAATCAGACTAGAACTCAAATCTCTCTTTGTAGAAACTATATTTTTTAACTTGTTCAATTGAATGAGATTCTATGACAAGAGTTGCTTTTTTGGTCAATATAAAGCTAGCTATTCAGACAGAGAAATAGGCAATGAGAGATAAAAGCCTTTGCAGCAAAAAGCCTTTAAGTGAGTTGTATAAAATCACAGACTGAGATCAGCATCTTTGATTTATGTAACAAATACAAATTTGACTTTCCAATTTTCAATTTATATTCAACATCTTTTGAACAAGTACATTAGAAGAGGCAGATATATTAAGGTGGATTGTAGTTAGAGTGAGACATCTTGAGAATGTTTTGTTGATCCAAATGAACCATGGTTTTCGTTTTTATTTTCTTTCTTTTGTAATAACAAAATTCAAAATCTTAGGAATAAAAGCTGTGTTCTAAATTTGTCTTTTTTAAAAACTCTTTTAGCCTCTTAATAAACATGTTTGCCTCTATGACATCTGTCTGTCTCAGTTACATACATATTTTCTTTTACATAATGTATAATACTGTATTGTATTATTTACTATAGTATCTAAACTATATGTATATGTACATTATATTTATACTATACTGTTTAAATGAATCAGAATTCAGACAGTGTTCTCTCTCTTTCTCTCTTTCTCTCTCTCTCTCTCTCTGTGTGTGTGTGTGTGTGTGTGTGTGTGTGTTTGTATGTGTAGCTTTTTTTCAGCTGGGAAGAATAAAACTTCAGACTTATATATTTATTTATTTTATTAATTAATTTATTTTTGTCAATTTCTTACAAGATAATAGGTATAAGTAAAAACATAGTTATGAATACATGGATACATATAAGAAAAATAAAAAAATAAACAGTAGGACAGGGATGGTAGGCACATTGGTGCGCTTATGCACGCCCTCTTCAGACCTCTTAGGAAAGGGATAGTAGATCAATAGTAGACAGTCTTTTTCTTTATATGCAAAAGTCTTTTTCTCATTAGACAGCATATAAAGTGCTACGATTTGAAAATGTAAATCCTCTTTTATGAGGCAGGACAATACATTTTTAGCTTGACAATATAATCAAGTTTTCAAACTTAACTTCAAAATCATAGAAATTGGAAGTATATTGACTGAGTCAACCAAATGCAGAATATGGTTAAGACCTATTCATGTGAATACTTCAATGTCTTATTGCAAAGTCATATTTAAATGTTGATAGTAGTTCACATCATTCTACAAAAATATAGTAGCAGAGATAGATCCATATTTTATGAATTTAAAATAATGCTGATATTAAAGGTTTTTCTCTATCTTTTTGCTGCACCTATTAACAGGTATCTGTATAAACTTCGGGATCTTCACTTAGATTCTGAGAACTACACAGAAGCTGCATATACCCTTCTGCTGCATGCTTCACTTCTGAAGGTAAGTTGCTTATTTGCAGTTGAGGTCAAGTATTGGAAAGTCAAGAGTTGGAGGGAATTGTCCTAACACAAAATTGGGTTGCAGGAAATAATAAGTGATTGTATGGTTACAATAGAATGTATATAGTAAGTGATTGTATGTATTGGTGGAATAGGGTGAACGTAGAGTTGTACTAGACTCCTATAAGCAAATAATGAACTCTCTTTTACAATCAAACCAATATCTATGCTATTATAAAGAGAAAAGTAGGAGGAAATCCAAATAGATTCCCCACACATGCATACACACACTGAATCCCTAATCCAACGAGAACAGCATTTTGATATTTGGAGCAATAAACAATAAGTGAACGTTCTTCAAGTGTTCCCAGGAAGAGAAAAATGAGAAGCAGGGAAAGGGAGAAGGGAAAGGGGAATGCAATAGAGTAACAAACCTAGCTGACTGGTTGGATACTGAAAAGTGATTGATTACATATATTTTCTAAGTAATTGGTGAAAAATTCCAGAGATATCAAGCCAGGCCCAGTAGTGGATTTAACAAGACATGTCAGTATTTTAAATTATAATTTTGGTGCATAGAATGTATAGAATATTATATGGCCATAATTTTTAAAATCTTTGGGGTGGTTAAGTAGTGATGAGCTTTCAGGCATAGTGGCAAAGATCTAAATTTCTATGGTCTGATGTTTCTGGCATCTTCAGAGGTTGACTGAGCTGCTTTGTAGGGTACCACTCAGTATTTCCCAGGGAAGACTTGGCCTTACTCAGAAACTGTGTCGAGTTTATGAAAGAGTATCAGGTTCTTTTTTCTCAAAACTTACTTTTATCTCCCCGCTGAGAACCTGCTGCTTCATTAACTCTTCAAATTAAAATTAACATTTCTGTGCATATAAAGCTACTGACATTTCCAAAATTTTACCTGCAAACGTGGCACTGGACACATTTGTTAAAGCCTTAATGTTTTTAAGAGGAAAAGAAGAGAAAATCAGTTGTTGTACGCTGTTACAGCTACATTGGTTTTCTGTATGTGTGTATTTTAAAGCCTCTTAGGTTCCTTGGTATTACCAAGTGACCTTGATTCAGAATTTCAAATTCAGTTCCATGTTGTTCTGGGGAAGTTACAGAGCTGAAAGAAGTTGGAAAGAAGCCAGGATTTAAACTCAGAAGGCATTTTCTCCAGGAATAATGTTTTCTTCCTGGGAGTACAAGACAGAGAGATCTTTCTTAGCAAATAAAGCAACAAAATGGATCAAGTAAAGTAAAGTGGTGATCTGGAAGTGGGATTGAGAAACCCTTATACAACAGAAAGTGTGTAAGATTTGCACATTAAGCCAATCTTCTTTGTGAATGGATTTTTGAACACAGCATTAAGTAAGGAAAAATACAGGACACCTTTGTGAGAGTTGGATAGCCAGTATAATTGAGTTTTGAGCACACAACAACCTTCTGTTTGCCATTCCAAATTGTGTCCCAGTTTTTCCACAAGAACTTTAATTTAGTTTGCGTGATTTGAATTTAAGATCCAAAAGTTTATATACTGCGATGGAGGTTAAGATTACAATATTCAGGAAAAAAGCTGGATGATCATTAATTTGGCACCTATGACATATAGAAAGCTCTGTTTACTTCTCTTGGTGGAGGACCAAAGCTTTTGAAAGCACCAGTGTAAATAACTGTTAGTCCCATGAATTTCAGGAGTCAAGGTGTATCAAATAAATTTAACTCTTACATTTTGTGGCATTTGGGAAGAATATGACAAAATGAGATATGACTGATGCATATCAGTGCAATGTGTGTGATATTTTGGTGGGTTTTATTTGTAAGTTTGGGCAAAGAGTGGTGTGTCAAGAAATGAATGCCTGTATGTGCATTTAAAGAGCAGAGTCTTAATGAGACAACTGTTATACAGGTTCAAAAATAGAATTGCTATGCTGGGATCTCATTAAGGATAAATAAATTCCAGAAAAAAGAAGTCTAAAAAACTATCTTGCATATTTATATTGTCACTGATCTGCACTTCATGCATTTTGTTCTCAATTATGACACCAATCTTTTATAACCTTAAAAAAAAAAGCTAAGAACTTACTTACAAATTTATTATGAGTTTTTTTCTTCGCAGTGGTCTGATGAACACTGTACTCCTCAAGTCATGCAAACAGAATTTCAAAGTTCACAAACACACCGTCATCTGAAAGAGCACCTATATGAGATGATAATAGAATATTTTGACAAAGGAAAGGTAATTTTATCTTCCTAATTCCTGCTGAGTAGCTTTGTGCCATGGGTTATAATCTCATTTCATCATCCAAAGCAGTTATGCCTAATAATATTGAGAAAAAGAGATGTCTGTTCAGTAAATTGCCAGGTGGTTTTGATTCTCATTCTATTACAGCATAGAATTTATGGAAGAATGTTATTGTATGAAGACTGTGACATTATTAAAATGTTGCTATGAATCAGGCAATACAGAAATTATATGGTATAATGTGCTTAATGTGTTTTGGTCTTATATATTTTATTTTGTAAGATGAAAGGCATGCAGTGTTTCTGATTAGGCTGAAATCACCAAAATAACTGAATAGCTGTTTTTAGAAAATGTTAGTATTTCCAGGTAGGCACTAGCACTTAGTAGCATTCTGTTCAGTACCACTGTTGTCATATCCATTTAATTGTAGAAACATTGCAAAAGGACCTGTGATTTGGTCAGGCTTCGTGAAAGGTTGCTCTGTATAATGTTTATAGTATATTTGTGACATGTAGCCAAGTTATAATTTGAATGATTATCCTGCAATGAATAGAAGCACAAACTTTGTAGATATTACATGAGAGAGAAAAAAATCATAACTGACTTAGAACAGAGGGTGTCTGTCTTCTTATTACTTGGATGGGTAACATCCAGCAAAACCCATATCTGGGAGCTAGACTGGTGGCTGAAAACACAATCCCCTCATTTCTTCTGTTGCCAAATATACATTGACATTTCTGTGAGATTACCAAAGTTGAGCTGGACTTGAAAAGGACTTTAGATTAACAACCTTGAACAAGTAGTCCTTGACTTAAAACATTTCATTTAGTGACCATTCAACAGCACTGAAAAAAGTGAGTTATAGCTGTATGTCACACCTACGACCATTGCAGTATCCCTAAAGTCAGTGATCAGAGTTGATCACTGATCAAAAATTCACTGATCAAAAATTCAGACCCTTGACAGCTGACTATTAGTTGCAGTGTCCTGGGGTTATGTGATCACCTTTTCAACTTTCTGACAAGTGAAGTCAACGGGGGAAACCCAATTCACTTAACAACCATGTCACTCATTTAACAACTGCAGTGATTCGTTTAACAACTATGTCAAGAAAGGATTGAAATGGAACAAAATTCACTTAATAAATATCTCACTTAGCAACAGAAAGTTTGGGATCACTTATGATTGTAAGTCGAGGAATACCTGTATAAAGTTAATGTAATTAGGAGATAACTTAATTCAGTATTGAGAATGAAAGTATCTGAGACAATCACATTTCAATATATTTGCATAAAATATGAGACATATGGGTAAATTTCTTTTGTATTAAAATTGACTGTAACAGGTTGATCTGTCCTGAAAACTATGTAGACATCTGCAAAACTCTGTAAATATCACAACATAGGGCTGTGCAAAAAATGAAGAAGCACAATGCACACTGGTATAAGCAAAGCACCCTGAAAGAGTTTAAGTACAGGTCTTGTAAAAAGCGCTAATGTTTTTATGCTTTAAGGAGATGAGCTTTCTTCTCAGCAACATGCTTTGTGTAGTGTTTTCTCAAAGTTTGTCTGGGCATATCACCTCAAAGAGGTGCAAATGAAATAAATTGTGGTTCTTCAATTGTTATTTCCTAATATTGTTGCAAATATAAATCACAAGGCCTTAAATGTATTCACTCGATGTAGATATTTTTGGTTACACAAATATTTTCTCCTGGGGTTCTAATGTAATATTTCAAAGCATATCACATAATGGATAAAGATTGTTCTGAGAGAGACATGGGCAGACATTTAATTTGATAAATAAAAAATTCAATAACTAAAGCTATGCAATTATATATCTAAATTTCCTGTTACATTGCAGATGTGGGAAGAAGCAATAGGCTTGTGCAAAGAACTAGCAGAACAGTATGAAATGGAAATTTTTGATTATGAACTTCTAAGCCAAAACTTGGTAAGAATGGAATTCTACAAACATGTTATGGATTTTCAGTTCTCTGCAGTTATAAATTTATTTCTGAAACCTTTCAGTCTAGATTTTTGTGCTGTGGTTAACCTGCAAGTTTAGAATTGTCTTTGACATAAAACCAGCTGGGTCTGTCTTTGTGTCTCAGACTTAGGAAGAACGCAATGACAAATTACTTCTGAAATTTTGCCAAAAAAACTGCAGGGACGGGTTCCAGTCAATCAGAAGAAGTCAATTCTGGCTCAAAGCATATATCTATATATCCAGTTTATTATTATTTCAGACAAGTGAATACATAATTTTAAAACACTGAAGATAATCAAATCCAGAGCAATAACAGATATTTGCCTTCTTTGCCTTGACAAAAAAAAAATTGAAGTAAGTTCTGTAAGTTATTACTTTGTATATTATGGCTCTGATGTAGCTTAAGAACTCAATATACAGTTGAGAGGCTTAATGTCTCCAGAAGATCTGATTTCCCACACTGTAAAGGACTGTAGGGGAAATAAATTGAAAATACATTCAGGCAAGATAAACTTACTGATTTTGAGAGCCGAATATCAGAAGATAGTCTGGAATGAGCTTTTACTCCTCTTTAAGGAACAAACTTGCAGTCTGAGATCTTCTATTGTAGATAGCCTCATACCGTCAGTGAAATCACATATAATCAGTGTCAGCTGATAACTGAGGTGCATGCCTACTTGCTGTTTGAGACTTAAGCTCGAGTAATTTAAAAAGTAGATTACTGCAATCGTTCATGGAATAACATAGAAGACAGTCCAGAAATTGTAGCTGGCCCAGCTATAATTGCTTTCCAACCCAATTCAAGATATTCACAATGATGTATGAAGCTTTAGAAACCGTAGGCCCAAGATACTTACAGCATTACTACTCTCATCTCATATTCTTAGATCAATAGGATTACAGCTTTAGAGGTGAGAAGCTCAAAACATACTTATTTTCCAAGATCATTTACGTTACGTTTTTTTTTTAACAGAATTTTGTAAGTTGCCCAAAACTACTATGGGAGTTAATTTTCTAACTATAAGAAAAATGTCTAAAATTAGTACCATTGAATTGACATGGGAAATGTAGCACAATAGCAATAGCACTTAGATCTACAGTGATTTACAGCTCTCTCTAAGCAGTTTACAGAGTCAGCACATTGCCCCCAATGACCTGGGTCCTCAGAAGGATGGAACGTTGAGTCAACCTTGAGCCTGGTGAAATTTGAACTGCCAAATTGCAGGCAGCCATCAGGCAGCAGAAGTAGCCTGCAGTACTGCACTCTAACCACTGCACCACCGTGGCTCATGTAATAGTGAATTGAATTTAGTGCTATGTTTTTCAGAAGAACAAGGAATGTTAATTCTATAAACTCCTTTATCATTCTGAAACATAAATGTAAATAAAAATGATTTCATCTCATGAAATAAAAATCAATGTATTTCATTTTAAATTAAAGTTGCCATTCATTTTATAGACTTAAAATAGACTTTAGTCTTGCACATTGTACTGGGTTTTAAATTCATTGCCGTTTGCACAATACAAGATTGCCTCTATGTCCTTAATGGGCAGTTTAGTCAATCATTTCCTATGTTCAGTTTTACATCATATAGAATACACATACACAGTTTTACATATAGAATTTAGTATTGCAATTTAAAATTGGCCAAAGCATCATCACTTTGTATAAAATTCAAACCATAAACTCTACTGAGTAAGTCTTGGAATTGTCTACAAAATAAATGTAATTTAATTATTTTAATCTGGCTGTGATACCTTACCATCTCATTTACAGCTCTAGTTCGATGACACTAAGTCATTGCAAATGATATAATATAAGATTTAATTGATATTTGAGCTGACCCAAAATTATTTGTTAAACTGAAATTTTGCTGTAGTAATTAATTTACAAATGCTTATGAAAATGAGAAAAATTAGAATTGCGCATTTTAATTACAGAAAGGTAATGAATGAAGGCAAATATGTCCCAGGATAATCTTCCAGGATCCAATCTGGATGTGTCAGCAGGACCAGAGGTTCAGTCTTCCAAGCTTTTGGACTCATACTGGAGTCCATCATCAACAAATTTCTTTCTCACATACATTTTGGAGAGAGAGGAGTTTCCTGCTGATCAGTTCCACCACGAATCCTAAAATTTGGGGGATTAAACCTCTGGTCCCAGTGACTCACCCAGATTAGAAAAACCCTCACACAGGCATCCTTCAGTCTAAAAAGACTATGGTATCATGCTCTGAAAAGAGGTCCTCAAACAGCATCTAGGGTGGCTAAAAAGGCCAATTTGAGAGTGGCAATCCCTTTCACATTGAGGACAGATACAGCCTGTCCCCTGTCCAGCCCACAGATTTTGCTGGTTCAGGGACTGCCTCTTTGCCTCAGCCTGCCAAATGACTGTCTCTTCAAATTGGAAAAGAACCCTAGTGTCTGAGGAATTGGTTGCCATATAATCTCAGGAAGACCTATTACATCTCTTTTTCTTTTCAGATTCAGCAAGCCAAATTTTATGAAAACATAATGAAAATTCTGAGGCCTAAACCAGATTATTTTGCAGTTGGATATTACGGCCAAGGGTTCCCCACATTCCTAAGGGTAAATTATCTACTCTGTGTACTTTATCTTTAACAAATTTCAAATTTGTAGAGCCTTATAGAATACCAATATTCTACTCGTGGAAATTGAGTTATTCACAAATTGGGGCATTTGTCTTGATGAGATTCTGCCAGGAAAAGAGTTTCTGTCCTGCAGTTACCTAAAATGCCTTTTGTAACAATATTGAGTGTCACATTTTCAGAAAGAATTTTATTTATTGTGGATTTTTCCCCTTGTTGCCTTCAAGGTTAGAAAAAGGTTTATAGTGAGGGTAATGGAGTGATAAGGGAGCATTTAGGATTCTTACAAGACAGTCATAATTAAAGGATGGTTTATAGCTGAAGAGAATTTAATGAACAATAAAACCAACAATATGAATAGCCAAGACACTGAAGCAGGAAATCTAATGAATTTTATATCTGGTGTATATTCATTTTTAATTGAGAGCTCACAGATGAAATTTCATATGAAAGGCTCTCACATTTATACCTGGAATACCTATAATTAGTATTCTTATTGCTGGTAATTTTTACAATCCGGCAAAAATAATCTTGTAATTTTCCTTTCTTCCTCTCCAATATACTTTTAAAGGCACAATAAGAAGCAAAGAATTCTAGAATAAATTTCCCTACAAAAGTATATTAGATACCTTATAGCAATCACCCAGGGGACTAGTGGAAATTTTATCACATTTTGGTCTTGTTGTTATTTTAGAAAACATCTTTCACTCTTTTCACTCTCCTCCTCCTTTTCCCTTAGGAGGGACCTAACAATTTAGCTGGTTATTAGGGTCTTGATGTATCTAATTTCATATTTAGTTCATCTTTGTAGCTTTTAAGAATTTAAAATTTAGAATAACAGTGTTGGAAGGGACCTTGGAGGTCTTCTAGTCCAACCCCATTTAGGAAACCCTACACCACTTCAGACAAATGGTAGAATAATGGGAAGAATAAGATAAAAAAAAATGTTGTGATCTTTAACAATGATTTATTTTCCACAGCAAGTTCACAAACAGTATTTATTCTTCTTTAAAAACAGAATAAAATATTCATTTATCGAGGCAAGGAATATGAGCGGAGAGAAGACTTTCAAGCACAACTGCTGAGCCATTTTCCAAATGCTGAAAAAATGAATACTACTGCACCCCCTGATGAGAAACTGAAGAATGCTGCTGTTCAACGTATCCTTAGAAGTCGGGGATTTTATTAAATAAGCAAAAGCAATTTGAAGTAAAAATCCATATTCAAAGTTTATGGAACTATGGAAAATCCCTGAATTATAAGCCATTCCACATGTTTCCCTTCAAATTGAACAGAACTCATGCATAATTCTGTTGCTTAAGAAACCAGGCTTTGTTATACACACAGTAATCAGAAATTAACCTCTATGAAATATAGGACCTTCTACTTTGTTGATAGGACCTTCTAAGTATGTTTTATTCTGGAACATACCAGTAAAAAGGCTATTTTAGCATTCTTCCTTTTTATAGCAATACAGGTACTCGACTTTCGACCACATTTGAGTCCCAAATTTCTGTTTTTAAGTGAGACACTTCTTAAGGTACATTTTGCCCCATTTTACCACCTTTCTTGTCACAATGGTTGAGTGAGTCACTGCAATTGTTAAATTAGTGACGAAGTTGTTAAGTAAATCTGGCTTCCCCATTGAATTTGCTTGTCGGGAGGTCACAAAAAGGGATCATATGAGCATGGGATATTGCAACCATCATAAATATGAACCAGTTGCCAAGCATCTGAATTTTGATCATGTGACCAGGGGAACACTGCAATGGTCATAAGTCACTTTTTCCAATGTCAATCACTAAACAAACTGTTGTAAGTTGAGGATTACCTGTAGAGTTCTCCTCTTCAAGTGGTAGCCACAGCACACATGCTACCTGGTGTGGTTTTTTTTTAATCAGTTCCTTACCTATTAAAATATTTAAGTTAGCCAACACTATAAATGTAACACTTTCATAATATCCTAATGAAAATTGTGGATATCTGTATCCTGTATCATGACAGAGAAGCATAAGCAGTAAAATACATATTCAATCAAATTTCCCAAGAAATCAAAACTTCAAAGAAATGAATTATTCTTAAAGTAACCACCAGAAATGTAAAAGGCCTCTGGTTAAATCCTAAAATCACCAAGGCCATCTTACTAAGCAACTTTAAATCATTGAATAGCCAACTCTCAGAGTCTGGTTTGATTACATTGGCAGCTTTTATCCCTGAATTCACAGATAAGCCTGTATGTATCAAATATCTTTCTGGTCTATTTTTAAACAGCACTATGTAAGGCTGATATTTCAAGTATTATCTACAAGACTAATTGAAGTTTTTTTCCCTTTATGTTGAAATGTTCAAGTTCACGTAAATATAATCTTGAATTATAGAAAAAATGCCACCAAAGTATTTTATACTGCTCAGTTTGTTTTTATTAGAAACACCAGATATTGAATTTGATTTTTTGTTTAAAACAATAGGAATCAATAAACATATTCTTCTGCATCTCTGAAAAGAGCAACATATCATTTTAGCATGTACATTCAAAGATATAGTATGTAATTTAAAGCAGTAAATTCCCTTTCTCCTTTTTACATGCAGATACAGAATATTGTCCAAATGCAAATGTTAACAAACACACTCTATCTCTGAATGTACATTCTGCTTCAGGAAGAAAACCACATCAGCAGCACATCATCAAATTATTCATCATCATGTATTTTGGCTTACCAGACAAGCTCAATTCAGGTAGTCCTCAATTTACAATCATTTAGTGACCATTTGAAGTTACAGCACTGAAAAAAGTGACTTATGACTGTTTTTCACACTCATGACTATGGCAGGTTCATATTTATGATGCTTGTAGTACCCTCAGGTCATGTGATCACCTTGAACAACCTTCTGACAAGCAAAGTCAATGGGGAAGGCAGATTCCCTTAACAACCATGTTACTAAATTAACAACTGCAGAGATTCACTTAACAACTATGCATAAGAGATCGTAAAATGAGACAAAACTCACTTAACAAAGGCCTCACTTAGCAACATAAATATTTGGCTCAATTGTGGCCATAAATTGAGAACTACTTATGTTAGTTTTTAGAATGCTATGTCTACAAGATTTAAGTTGCTAAACCTTGGAAACGTTGGCCTAAATTTTGGCTTTAAAACAGAGCATCTCTGTGTTGTAATTTATCACTGAGAACACAAGCAGAGGTAATTAACAGGAAAACCTGTTTTCATAGGGTTTTTATTATTTAATTTAGGTCTCATATTTCTCAGTTTCCTCCTTAGTGAATCATGGGAAGATGCAGTTGGTAGTTAGATAGAGACTGGCAATGTGTAAGTCTACTGCAGATACTAATTGGCGTTGGATTAATTCTGAGTCTCTGAGCTAAACACTTGTCAGTTCTCTTATTGAAATTCAATAAAGGCAGAAGGCATTTATTCATAATTCCCCTACAATAATTATACATGATTATAGAACACGTAGCAATGCTGGAGAAAGGTCATACTTTCTAAGAGAGGTAAAAATTGTATGATAGAGATGTTTCTGCTCTCATTGTATATCCTCATTGCTTGAAAACATGGTTTATTCTGATTTCAGTCTTGAGTACAGAATAAATAATAGTCTAGTGTTATCTATGAGTGATTGGTGGGAATGTTCATTGTCATCTGTCTCTGATTCTTTGTGTGGACCTGGTGGGCAATTGAATCAAAGTATTCTTCATTTAGACCCATCTAAACAGCTATTGAGACCAGGCTCAGTAAGACAAGCACGACAATCAAAGGCAGTGATTCCTCTCTTATGCACCTTTGATCCTCTGAAAAGCTGCTTTTCATCTCCCACATCATAAAGGAAGGCTTCTGAAGGAATGATAAAGTGTTATTGCTTCAAAACATAAATAGGACAACTATAGATGAATCCTTTACATTGAAAACACTGCCCTCCCCCAAGGTTATATTCAACACTTCAGGGTGAACAAGACAACTGCAAATTTCTTTTCTCTATACCAATATAAACAACTCTTGCTAATAATACATTCCTGTTCACATCCATCTCACAGAAATACAGTATACAAACTCTACAGTGTCAGTTGAAATCTTTGCACCGTATAATTTCAGTCTGCTTCTCTGTAAATCTGCAATAATGCATTTGTAGAATAAGATGCCTTAAAGCAGCAGCATAGGTTTAATCACTCAGATACTTCCATGTGACGTCTGTGCCCCAGGTAAATGACAACTTTAAGCTCTTGTGATCTCATAATGAGAGCTGAGCTTATGTATTTCCAGCTTTATTACAATATATTTGAAATCACACAAATCACCTTTCTGACTACTCTGCAGTGTTGGAGGGTTTATGGACAGGCCAAATTCCTATTAGCAGGAATTCTTACACTGTTTCTTCCTAGTACTTGGAGGGTTCACATGTATAACATCTTGCAAAGATGCTGTTATTTCAAAGCTCCTTAAAAATGTAACAAAGGAATAGTGCTTGGTTGGTTCTGCAGCTTCCTCTTTATAGCTCCTAAGGTTTTTTTTAGACATTGCTAGATACCATGCTCAAAATATGACACAAAATCTGAATGGCATGGCATTAGTCAAAAGCAGTGTTTTTCTGGTTGATCAGTTTGGTATATTATTGATGGGCTTGCTGTAAATTGCTGTGAATTTTAGTGATTGATGGTAGTGTATTGTGTGTCAGCTTTAAACTACTCTTAAGGAATTGGACTGGACACAGTAGTAATAGCTTGGTTGGTAAACATCCCAACCAAAGAACCATAATGACCACTCCCACCAACACAACAACAGGACAAGCCACTAGAATATAAAATGAGAGCAACTCCACTCCTTACTAGCACTGATGATGCAAGGCAAGGCGAGGCGAGGCGAGGCGAGGCGAGAGGAGAGGAGAGGAGAGGAGAGGAGAAGAGAATTCTTTATTGGCCAAATGTGATTGGACACACAAGGAATTTGTCTTTGGTGCATAAACTCTCAGTGTACATGAAAGCTATAAGTGATAAATCATGATCATACTTATCATAAATATATTCATCATGAACTATAATTTAGGTAATGAAACATCTGCAAGATAACAACCAACCTCAGAGAGCACCAAGAAGCCTGTTGTGGCCCGACAGCAGCCAGGGAAGCTGGCAGCAAATTTGGACAATGAGGAGGTTGGAGAGGAGCATGCATTGGGGAGGAGCATGGAGTCTGGGGAAGGCTCTGAGGAGTGCTCTGCATCAGATGCAGAGATGGGGCCAGAGCCATCTAACAGTTATCAGCTGCCTTCAAAGTCAGACATCAGTGAGGCAGAAGAACAGTTAGATCCTGTTCCCAGTATGCACATGTGCAAAGTTGCCAGATAAAGGGAACAGCTGAGGAACAAGGGCCAACTTGGGAGTAAAGCTACAGGTGGATAGTGAATGGCCCCTTCCCTAGAGTATAAAAGAGGAGTGAAAGGGGATTGAGGCTTTGCAGGAAACAATTAGTTCATTCTGGCATGCTTGGCCCCTCTTCAAGCCTGATAAAGTTTGTAATTGGGAACTATTGTGAAAGACTGTTGGCTGGAACTTTGTTGGAGGGGAAATTCATTGTAAATCAAATAAAAGACGTTTATTGAGATGAGAAATCAGCTTCATACTGTTGGGGGAAGCTTAGGTCAGAACAGAGCCCTCTTTTCAAACTTGCGCTAAAAATATTTTCCCCTATCGATAACATACTATTTATTTGGAACATAGATTTAATCAACCAATTTATTGAACACATACTTTTTAAGTTGAACGATGAATTTTACTAATATAATTTTGTAATAATTTTATAAAAGACTCTTCTTGAACAATTGTGAAGACTTTTGTTTTCAGTTGACTGATTGTGTCCACTAATGGTATAATGTCCTTAGCTCTTGTGATTTTAGATATACAATGCTTTACTGTGCAGCCAGTTTTGGAGGAACATCCTCAATTCAAAAATAAGCCAGTGCCTGATCAAGTAATCAAGTAAGTCCATATTGTCTTATTGATTGTGTAAAAATTCCTATAACACATGTTATCAATAGTCCTAGATAGCTTCTTAAAAGTTGGAAAGTTTAATTTGCATTATGTAATTCAAATCTGGAGTAATATACCATCCAAGATCAGGTTAATCTGACCTTGCTAGCCTTTCCCAAGATACTGAAGACACGGATGTGTTTTTCAATTTTTCAATTTCATTGTAAACATGTTGTGCATTGACAATAAATGTTTGTTTGTTTGTTTGTTTGTTTGATTGATTGATTGATGTGCTCCAGAGCCCAAAGGTCAGGAGGTTAAATGGCCTGTGAGATGTTATTGTTACTGTTGAGTGTTTATTGGATGTGTTCTCCAATACTATTGTAGGTTTTTATGTGCTGGTTGATACTTTCTATATTGTTTTTAACATGTTGGATTATCAGAGTTGAATTTATGAGATGGGTGGCCATATCAATCAAGTAAGTTGATAAACTCAAATTTGGATCGGAATTATCAAATATGGGGAAACATTATCCAGACTTGGAAATACAAAGATTTGCCATAGCAGCCATCAATTCTACAAGGGAAGAAGCAACATCAGCTGAATGAAACTTTGCTGAGGTTTCTTCTATATAAAATTTCACAGTCCCCAGATTAAAAAATATATCTACTGGGTACAATCTCTGACATTCTGTTTGCCATGCACATATTAAATTAGCAGGCAAATAACCGAACAGGCTGACAGTCTTAATGAGTTAAAATATAACTTTGATGGTGTTCTCAAGAATGGATTATCAAACCCAGAGGTTTCATTATGGGAACAAATGAGGCCCTAGATTCTATCCATCTTGAGAGAAAAAATTGTTTGTTGGTAGATGTTAGTCAATTTTACATCGATCTATTTTATTGCAATGAGAATACTCCCTTTCTCTGGTCTGGTACAAGGACATACAGTTTTAACTTTCACTATTTTTTTAATCAAAGCTTAATAGATTTTATTTTACTCGTGGATAAACTGAAAGCATCCTCTTTTTTCTGCCTGCTAACATTTCCAAATGAAATGGCACCTGAAAGACAAGAAAACTGTGTGCGATGAATAAAGGAAAAAGCGAGAGTAATAAGAAGGGATGATGCCCTTTGATAATACTGAGGCCTCTGCATCATGGCTTTGTCATATAGTTCAAATGTTTTATTTGGAGTCTTACTTCTTAAAAGATAGGAAATGTAAGATAGAACCAGTTTCGTCTAGTGGTGAAGGCACCATGCTAGGAATTGTGAATTTTAGTTTTGTCTTAGGCATGAAAGTCATTTGGGTGACTTTGCGTCACTCACTCTCTCTAAGCCCAACTCACTTCACAGGGTTGTTTTTCTGGGGAAAATAGGAGGAGAAAGGAGTATTAAGTATGCTTCCTTGAGTTATTTATAAAAATATTAAAGATGGGATTAAAAATATTTATTAAAAAAGATAAAAATTTATTCAAATTGAACTTGATTCCTGGTTCATGTACTTTTCTTTGACAGATAGCAATATACTTCTCCATAGCGTTTTACAAGACTCTCTGAGCAGCTTACAGAGTTAGCATATTGCCCCCAACAATCTGGGTTTTGTTTTACCAACCTCAGAAGGATGGAAGGCTGAGTCAACCTTGAGCTGGTCAGGATCGAACTCTTGGCAGTGGACAGAGTCAGCCTGCATTACTGCATTCCAATCACTACACCACAGCTCCTAACTAAATGGAAGTGATTTACTATTGTATCTTTTTAGGATTTTAGTTTATTTCCCAAAGTAGTTCAGATTTGCTGGCTTTCCTGGTGTTATCTCATTTAAACGATAAACCATGCCTAACCCCTACTTAGCTCTTTCAAGATCAGCCGTGGTTGGTATATCTGTCACCTGTTGTGATTTGTAGGAAATTACACTTTTAAAACATTGTTCTTAACAGCAACATGTTTTGATTACAATCAGCTCTGATCTAAAATTTACTTCATATGGAACTTTAGATATTCAACAATCAATAAGTGACATCTTTAGCTCTCCCAAGTTTTCTTTTTAATATTCTTTGAACTTTTAAAATTGGCAGCATAAAGCATTTTCTCACCTGCATCTGAAAGCTAATGAAAAGGCTCTTCTACCATGAGACACAGAAATTACTGGCCTAATAGAGGGCACCTTGAAAACACACACCATTCATGTCTTTGTAACTATCCTTCCATCTGTCATGTTGTCACTACTTAAATTTATTTTTCCCCCATCATTAAGGAAAAATCTGTTGAAGTACCACCAATCTAACTAATGTTGCCAAATGTAGCTGATTGAAGGGAATGATAATTCAGATGTAATACAATAACTGTCATGTATTGGACCAAACCTTTTCAATTTAAGTTTCCGCAGTCATTTGTGTGAAAATGGGAAGGTGGTAAGCCTGCTACGACGTTGACTATGGAGAAACACTTGTTAACAATAAAGCTGGTAGAAATGAGGGATCATTTTTTCCTTCTTTGGAGTGGTTCCAACCTTTCCTTTCCTTTTTGACACACTGTTGTCACTATATCATTTGCGTTCTTGTTTCTTTTCTTGCTATGTTATCCTGAATAATCATTGACCTGTTAATTTCTGTCTTCTGCTACATTAAGCCTATTGCTTTCTGCAATGTCTTTAGGAGAGTTTCTTTTTTGTTGATTAGACAATTAAGGTCAAAAGTGAATACATATCAAGACATCAAAATTAGATATGAAATATCCAGTAGGAAAAGAATAAAGCTATCTCCTTATTTCAAATATGTGTGCGCGCACAAATGTGTATCTGTATGTATGTGTTTGTCTGTGTATGAATAGGTCAGCATATGCATAGCTACACCCAAGTAGTCTTTTCATTTTTAAATTTTTGTTCTTTAAATCATGTTCTTTAAATCATTGCATTATTACATTATAATATACATACCCCACAATTACAGGGATGTGGGACATGCATGGTAGCTTCCAGATTAGAAATCATGACATTATTTTCCATTAGATTCTTTTTCAAGAATCTATTTCTTATTCTTCACAAACTACAAGCATTTTATGGCTTCATGCTTTTTTGAATCTATAGATTTCTGTACTTTAAATGGAGTTGTCACAATAACAGGTGATCTTATTAAGTCTGCAAAGTAGTTGAAATATTACATGTATCAGCAGGGAAAATATCATATGCTTCAGGTCATTTATAACTTTCTATAAAACAAAGTGTTTTATGTGAGCCTATATAAAGAGAACAGGGTGAATGTTGATATATTAACCACAGTAAGAAGCAGCATCTGTAGAATTAGACTACTATAGATTGTAATTTAGAATGCTTCGAGGGCATTCCATGTTTTTTTTAACCTTTGCAAACAATGGCAGCTGCCATTGATTTTCATTAAATAAGTGGATAAGTGTCAACTTTTATTTTGCCCATTTTAAAACTGTTAAAAATGTTTTAGCCTTAAAAATAATAGTTTGATCTTGCATTTGATTCAACAGGGCCAATGTGCTCATTGTTCCCATTCACTGTAAGTCTGGAAGTATTTTTCATGTTCTGCATGCAATAGAGATATGAGATGATAGCAGACCAAGAATTAGACACATGTGCAGGAAAGTAGCTTCAGAGACACTTCATTTCTCTTTTATACTATACTACCACTCTCTGGTCAACCAGTTTTTAGATACAAGTAGTCTTCACTTAGTGACCACAACTGAGACTAAAAATTGGGTCATTAAGCAAGAAGGGTTCTTAGTGAAACTGTGACTGCTTATGATCTTTCCTTTGCTTTAAAAACCTGTGAAAATTGTAAATGGAAGCATTGCTTACTTTTTCATCACTGCTACAAATACTGGATAAACAGTGTGGTTGTTAAACAAGAACTACACACACACACACACAAACACAGGTCTACTATTTCTTGGTGGTATAAAGAGTGAATATGGAAAGAAAATACACATGGAAGGAAAAGAAGAAAATTAAAGAAATAAGAATAAAAGTGATATCATTGGAAGAAGACAACATATGAGTCCTGAATGAACATATATAAAATAATTTTAGTAGAAAATGAATATAAAGAGAACATAATGCAATATGATGACATCAAAAAATAAAAATGAAAAGAAGTAAAACAGAAGTGGGAAGTATGAAAAAGCATGTTTAATGGAAAGATGACCCAAAAGAGGTGTGACATCATATAAGAGAATGATGACTAAGAATGAGAGAAAAATATGCATACCGAACAAAAATGACAATTGCAAAGAGAATCAAGAATGATCAAGATTAAAAGATTTGTTGCCAGAAAAGAATGGCTGAGTATAAAAGGATTCTTTTGCCCACTTTATTATCTAGGGATGAGACTTTGGTATATCAGAGAATTTTGGATGCAGTGAGAATGGAATATTTACTATTTAAGCATTGTAAAATAGGAAACTATAGGGTTTTTAATGAATTGGTGATTAAGGAATGTTGATTGACTTTCTGAATTACTACAATGTGTCCTACAAAGGTTTCCCCTTGAAGATTGTTCAGAAGCTATAGGTAACATAGGGAATGGTGGCAAGATTATTACTTTAACCATTCTTCAGTTATCTTTTTCACATGGTTTTAGGGTTTTTATTACTTTCTAATGAATTATAAGCTGCAATAAGTTGTGATAGACAGATTTTATAAATAAATCAAATGAACAAATGAAAACCAGCAGGATAAGCTCCTTTACAAAGAACTTTGCCTATATTCCATTGTGGTTCTTCAAAGTGAGCCTCTTCTTTTTTTGAGTTTTCCTCAAGTGGAACCTTCCTTTTCTCCATTTTGCATATACATGCTTATTATTTAAAAGACAACAAGTGAACTACCTTCACATTAACTAAATTTTGGCTAGCATTATATGCAATAAGGGGTATAATTTATACTTTGCACTTAATCAAATTTGCACTATTCAAGCTCACATTAATTGGGATCTATCTGTAGTCACAACCAAATCAAGGCCCATTGATAAGTCTTCATAATCAACCTCTGAAAGTCAATGAACCATTACATTATAGCTTGAAGAATATGGAATATTATATTCATAGATTGGATATTTTTCTCCATTTCTTGTTTATCTGTGGAATGTAGAAATGTGCTGAGCATGACCAAAACTAGCACCACCTCCAGATACCTATACAGGTTTCAGGTATACTGCCACATTGTGATAATTTGTTCAGACTATTACATACCAAGGCACACTTTCCAATCAGGTTTAGACATACTTGCAATGTGTAAGATAGTGCTTTGAGTACAATGTAGATATTTGAATTAAAAATGGATATGCTATGTTTAAATTACATAAATGAATTTAAATTGAATTTTCATATGGAAGTTTATGGAGAAAAAGGTGTTTGTAATCTCTCTCTCTTAGTTTTTATAAGTCTAACTATGTACAAAGATTCCACTATTCAAGACCAACTAGAAAAGGATCAGTTGACCCTGAAAATGAATTTGCTGTAAGTATCTTTTTTAATGTTTTTGAACACAGCCACGTTATCTGTCACTCAGATGTGATACATGGCATTGCTCAGGTGATGCTACATACTTTATTAGTAGGCAAAAGAAGTACAAAATGTCACAGAAGCATCACTGGGCTGGACAAATGGAGTGTAAAATTGCTCAGGTTTTCCCATAGTCTTGAGTTTCAGCTACTATCAACAGAATGATTTCTGTCAGGGCTGGCTCTCAGGAATTTCAAGGATGCCATATATTTGGGATAGAGTTATATAATAAGTCCAATGGAATAACAAATGATAAGTGTGTTATCAAACAACATTTTTAAAGCATTTCAGATCATCCTAGTTTAAATCAGGTTATCAGTGTTCTTTGCCGTTCCATTTCCACAGTATTTGAATCTTGTCCTTTCCCTCTCACTTTTTTTTTTTTTTTTTTTGGTGATTGGGGAGCACAGTATTGCAGACTGTATTAAAGTATTCTGGTTTGTAAGTGAAATGGTGAACTCATCTCTCTTCCACCACCACCTCTCTCTTAAATAATATTGATGCCAGGAAAAGCTTTCCCTGTCATTTAAATTACATTTCCAGTAAGCTCTTAACTTTCTAACAATATGATTTAACCATTGCAATATTTCTTCTTTGCATCTTTTAATAGTCTATGTGGATTGAGAGAACATCCTTTACTACAGCTTATAAACTCCCAGGAATCTTACGTTGGTTTGAGGTTGTCTCCATGTCACAGGTGTGTATTAGAATTCTGGTAGGTATTATACATAGTTTAACCTTCAGAAATAGAAAGAAAGAGCCCATGCTATTTTATGACAAAAATAAAACAAAGTATTATGTTTCCAGGGAATCAGAGGTAGTATTCAGTAGGTTCTGACCAGTTCTGGAGAACCAGTAGTGGAAATTTTGAGTAGTTCAGAGAACCAGCAAATACCACCTCTGGCTGGAGATTTTACAGCATCCTTCCCCTGCCATGTCCACCAAGCCATGCCCACAGAACCAGTAGTAAAAAAAAAATTTTTGAATCCCATCACTGCAAGGAACCCATTTTCTCACTAAGCAATATGGTTCAATGTGCACTTGATTTGCTGAGATTGGGGAATTTTAATGAAATGCTAACACATTTCATAATAAATGAAAGATTCTCTCATATTCCAATGCAGCCAAGCTGAGCCATAATAGCAATAGCACTTGGACTTATATATCACTTCACAGTGCTTTACAGCCCTCTCTAAGTGGTTTACAGAGTCAGCATATTGTCTCTAACAATCTGGGTCCTCATTTTACTGATCTCGGAAGGATGGAAGGATGGGTCAATCTTGAACTAGTCAGGATCGAACTGCCGAACTGCTGGCAGTCGACAGTCAGCTGAATTAGCATGCAATCCTGCACTCTAAGCATTACACCACCATGGCTCTTAAAGTTGCAGATGGGACTCATGATAATCTTGTTTCCTCCTCCTTAGATTACAATTAGCCCATTGGAGAATGCCATTGAAACAATGACCATGACAAATGAGAAGATTCTGGCGATGATCAATCAGTACCAAAGTGATGAGAACCTTCCCATTAACCCACTCTCCATGCTTCTGAATGGAATTGTTGATCCAGCAGTCATGGGAGGGTTTGCTAAGTACGAAAAGGTAAGGAATTTAATTATTGTATTTAAAATGAAATGATCCTTCAGTACAGGGGTCCTCAAACTTGGCAACTTTAAGACTTGTGGGCTTCAACTCCCAGAATTCTCTAGGCAGGATAGCTGGCTGAAGAATTCTGGGAGTTGAAGTCCACAAGTCTTAAAGTTGCCAAGTTTGGAGGCCTCTGCTCCAGTATATTAGATCTTCAGCACAACCCATGAATGTCACGTTCAGATGAAAGACTAAGTAACTCCCTTTCTGCTTGCAGGCTTTCTTCACAGATGAGTACACTAGGGATCACCCAGAGGATCAGGAGAAACTAAACCGACTCAAAGACCTGATTGCTTGGCAGGTATTGAAATGCTGGGCACAATTCTCTGATTGTTTAAATAAATATTATTAATTTCTCCACTTTCTTTTGCTGATTGATCTCATTTCCAGAGGGGAAGCACATCAATATATAATGCATGCACATTTTCCTTCTGTTTTCCTTTGTTTGTTTATTTGTTTGAAGAAGAATACTTGTCTAAAATGTGACTGGAAATATCACATAAAAGTATGTTGTAAAAGTTTTTCATCCACATTTAATGAGCCTCCTTTCCTGAACAAAAACATCAGGAATCCCTTGGTGATTTAGCTGAATGCTCTCTCAAAATGTTATGCAATGTTAAGAGAGAGAGAAAAAACTGACATCATGGTATTTCTGTTGCTTTCAGATAAAGAGGAACCAAGTGAAAACACTGATTTTTGCATAGGTTTTGAATTTTTGAATGATGTTTAATTCTCTGCTATTAACAGCTTCATCAGGCTCGGGTAAAAACAACCTATTAACACTCTGAACTCCTGAAAATATCACTTCTATTTTTATGTTCTTGCTAAAATATCAAATGTTGCAATTTTATGAGGGATGTAGCATAATGGCAATGCTTTTTTTTCAGAGACTATTTTTTGCTTCTAGTTTGTTTCTGAATAAGTCACCCACGATTGTCAATATCTTCCTTCTTCTACTGACATTTGAATCAGTAGAAATAACTACTGTTTGTGTGGAAATAGCGACTAAAATATATATGCAAACAAATGTTTAATCTTAGTGTTATGAAGAAAGTCATTCATTTATGTGTTTGCATATATTTTATATCAACTCCATGGTTGTTTTCACAAACATCCTCATATCTTCGGTGCATAATAGTACCATGGACTTTTGTGATATCTTCACACCCTATTCTAGATTGCATTCAGAGGAGATCCCACTATTAATGGTGGTGTCCAATGTAATTTAGAATACTAGAAAGTTAGAACTTCAAATTGTTTTAATAATTCTGAGTCATTATTAAAGAAGGTTACCTAGTGTAAACAGTCAACCTCTAAACACGAAAATAAATCTGTCCATTGGTGTAGTCCCATTTTTCATAATTCCAAAAAGAGGAATTACCTGAGAAACATGAAGATTCACAGTCTTTCTGGACAGAACAGGTGAAGTACTACACTGAGGGAAACATCAGCACTGTGCCAGTTCCTTGAAAAGCAGGAGAGAAAGCAATTCATAAATATTGGAAGAGATAAATTAGCACAGATGGAGATTCTCTGGCTTTTGTAAAATCTGTGTAATGTGTACCCTCCTCACAATTTTAGTAGAGGGGATGTTGCAAAATGGTGTGCCTCAAAATATTGAGAAATGCCTATCTCAGATTTTTGACAACTGTGAGTCAGTAAGCTCTTGTGAACTGTGTGTAGGCCTGAGGCTGTAGATTATTACCCATGAGTTTAGAGGACATAGCTATCATCCTGATTGCGGATTGAATGATTACCAATATACTCCATCAAGGTGCTGTTGACTCTTAACAGTAGCACAGATAAATCTGTTTCAGATCTGACTTTTCAAGTCTTCCAAAGGTACATCCATCATTACTCTAATCAAGTCCTAGTTGTTGGAAATCTACTCCTTCCTCCCAGCTCCTTTCTTCTTCTTCTAGCATATGGATTTCTCAAGAGAACTAGGTCTCTTAACCTTCTTCCATACCATAGTCACTAAAGAGACCATCTGTCTCCAGCATCTTCCTATACTGCTGCTACTCATTATAGGTGCTTGGTAGCATAGCTGGGATGACCTTCAGGCCTTGAATGACGGTTCTGGAAATAGATACTGTACTCTTGGCATCAGTGGCGGATTAAGGCTCGCTGGTGCCCTAAGCACTGACAAATCTTGGGGCCGGCCTCCTTTGTACATACTATACAAACAAAGCCAAGCTTAGGCTACATAAAAGTTTTTGTGGAGCTCCCTTTAGACCTGGTGCCCTGAACACATGCTTAGTCTGCTTAATGATTAATACACCATTGCTTAGCATTCATTCCTGGTGTTCTTTGCTGATCCTTCCCAGGAAGGCACACACATACATACATGATAATGAGGAAACAACCATGCTACTTTGGTTGAAATTTCAATTGAACTGGCTTTGCATTTAAACTTATGAATGATTTGATCACTTAGCAAAATGCTTCCAATGTAATCTTTGTAACATAGTGAAAATGTCCACTATGTACCCATGGTCAAGTAAATTGTTGGCTTATCATACATTTCACCAATCATACTAATCTGGCCTAGATTCTGAAGACATGATGTATTTTCTGTCACTCTTCATCTTAAGAATATATGAAGTATCATAAATTATCCATCCATTTAAACTTTTGTTGAATATCATTATGCACAGGAAACAAAAAAAGTGCAATTATATTTTTCTGGAAGGTTGTACTTCACCCTTCTGTAATTATTTTCTTGCAATTTATAGTAAGATGGATTGGTACCTGTTTGAAAGGAAAGAAGAAAATGTCATCTAGCAAATATATTACAAATCATATTTTGTAACTGCATCCAATTTAACATGTTCTGGAGACATGGGGAATATGAAATAGCATGACTGAATTTTTTCTTATTGCTTTTTAGGTTCCATTTCTTGCAGCTGGAATTAAGATTCATGAAAGAAGAGTATCAGATAGCCTTCGTCCTTTCCATGAACGTATGGAGGAATGTTTCAGGCATTTAAAGGTTAAAGTAGAAAAACAATATGGAATCAGAGAATTGGTAAGATTTGGTCTTTTAATTTTATAATTTTTTAAATTATATTTTATCTTAACAAGAAAAAAAAATCATGAAATTTGGCCTGCATTACAACTGTCTACTTGTGATTTAAATTGTGATTTAAATTTACTTCCTCTTTCAAACAATAGACTTTATCTCACATATTGCTAAGAAACTTCCATAACTGTTAAAATGTATTTATATTCCTCATTTTATTAGGAGGGAGGAAACAAACCTTATGAACAATGTCATCCAGAGCTTAGTACTTCTCATTCTCTTAAACCATTGGTCTAATAATTTTAATGGCTCGGAGTTTTGAATAAGAATGAATAACCAGGAATGTTCCATTCTTTTTTTTTCCTGAAGAATTCCAACTGTTTGGTGAATCTATTTCTGAAACAACGTATAATTTAGTATAACATATAAATATGAGTTGATGTTAAAATAGCAGTATGCAAAATCTGCAGAATAGAATTATCAACCCTGTGATTGTCATGGTTCTTGGAGCACATCTGGCTAAATAACTAAATAATAAGGTGAAGTGTTTGACATCACTAAGAATAGGAAGGAAGGTTGTTATATGAAGGCTTACAGGCTTCAGGATATGGAGACTAAAGAAATGTTCCTAGTTAGTGAACCTTAAACCTCTTTTGTGGGGGAAGGCATAGACCTAACTTCCAACAAATGCAAATTATAGATAGTTGACAATGTGTATTCATTGTATTAAATTAGTTTCTCTCAGTTCTCTAGCTTAGGGTTCTTATTTGTTATGAAAAACAAGTATTTTGCTAAGCACGTAACTAGATGCTGAACAGGCTATGTCCTTTTCAGTTCAGTTGAAATGCATATATATATATATATCATCTTTGACTATGAGTTGGAATAGAGATGTCTTAAATTAGATGTTGGCAATTTAATTGTTGGCAAGGCGTCACAGAGTGGTCAAATGCCTCCTAGTCTTGTGAGACATTTGCAATCTCATCTCAAATTCTTGTGTGGAGACACCAAATTACATTTTAAAAATTCAAATTCAGAAGTAGATCTTTACAAGAATTTTGAATTCTTGCACAAGATTTCATGACTGTTACCAATTTAGACTTATTGAAGCCCTTCTGCATGATTTTACTGTGAATATGGTGAGTTAGAGTCATAGAGGCTGTTTTTGGCAGCATCAGATGCTCTAGCACTTTAGGCACCATCTAAAACTTGATATAAATGAATCATAAGGGAAGGAATATATCATACTGGAAAATCAATTTAATCTGGTCAGCCATAAACCATGGGAATGTATCCAGAGTCTGATAGTGTGTTACAGTTTGATTATAAACCAAGCAGATAGAGACCAGCAGAAGGATTTCAGTATTATAACATACAGAATGCATGGCTACTGTGTCTTTTTTAAATATATAGAAGTCATTACAATTTAAGTACTGCTTAGACTCTGTCTTGGATTGAAATTGTCTATCTGTTATCATAGTACATGAATGAAAAATCATCACTTTTAAACAGATAGGAAAAAATAAATTACCTCACTCTGGAAGAAGTTTCTCATAAATTAATAAGCTCAGGGGATGACAGTATTTAATGCATCAGCCAATGCATATGAAAACTACTTAATATGACCAGTCAAATTCGTGTGCTTTTATCATTTTTCTTGGGGTCTCTGGTGTAGCCCTTCCCTGTGAAGGCAGCTGTGTTGATCATGTCTTGCTCCTGCATTTGGAATTCAAAGATTCAGAAGCAATTCCCACTGCAAATAAAATCTAAAATGTGTTTGAAAATAATGTTGGAAACTCTAAATGACTTTCCTGCATTTCTTGCCAGGTCTAACTCTCTGAGTACAATGAGTTGAGTTGAGAATGGAGTCTGAAGTAGGAGATTATGAGCCAATTTTCATCTGAACATTGTAATAACCCTGCAATACTTTAAGGCTAGATTTTCAGGTTTTAAAATAGGGAAGTGGCAGTTTTCCAACACACACACACACACACACACACACACACACACACACAGAGAGAGAGAGAGAGAGAGAGAGAGAGAGAGATTGACAGACATTGTGAAAGAGAGATTGAGGGAGAGAGAGAGACAGACATTGAGAGAGAGAGATTGACAGACATTGAGAGAGAGAGACATTGAGAGAAAGAGAGAGAGAGACAGAGAGAGAGGGGCATTGAGAGATATATACTGAGAGAGATAGACGTTGACAGACATTGAGAGAAAAAGAGTGACATTGAGAGAGATTCATTGATAGAGAAAGGCATTGAGAGAAAGAGAGAGATTGAAAGAGGGAGATTGAGAGAGAGAGAGACATTGAGAGAGAGAGGCATTGAGAGATAGAGATTGAGAGAGAGGCATTAAGAGAGAGAAAAAGACATTGAGAGAGGGGGGAAAAACCTCATTCAAATATTAACATGTAAGAAAGCAAAAGTACTGGGAATAAAATAGTTGATCTATGCTCAAATTATAATTCAGTGATGGCTTCCTTCTTTTTTAAAAAAGAGAACCAATATATTATATCTGTAGCATGTCAAAAAAGAAAAATACTGAGTAATTCTGGAAACTTAATTTTATATCAACATCCCACACATTTTTTTCAATCTAATGATTAGAACTATGGAAAAATGTCTCAGCCAAAATTAAATTGCTTACAGTATATGTTTGTTATATACTATCAAACAAAACAAACCTGTATTTGATATCTAATTCACCATTCAGAAATAACAGGATTAACCTAGAGCATCTCATTATAAAACAAGCATTTAGGGATGTTTTAGATTATTTTAATATTACAGAATCACCTTGGGTCCCATATTGTTCACCAAATAATTTCTATTGTTATGTTCTGTGAACATATGTATGCTTAATTTGTACTTGCTGTGTCTCAGATTTATTTTTTTTAACTATTCTTATCACACACAAATGCATGTGTGTGCACATGCATGCACACACAAACACACACATTCCTTCCAATTTTCCAAAACAAGGGGGGAGAAGAACAACTTACATCAATGTTTCCTTTTGCACCATCAGATAGGAACGACAGGATAAGTGGATAAAATTGTCAAATCCAGTCTAAATATCAGGCTGACTGGGCAACCAATCATAACAAATTAAAATAAGAAAATAATGAGTAAATAAAGAAGTATATAGAATAAAGTACTTTGGAATACTTGGGCAGTTGTGGCTAGAAGAGCCTTTGGGAAACTTTGTGTTGTGCAGCAATTGCACATTTTCCTGGGTCAGGAATCATTGCACTCACATACTCAAGCCCTGGTTACCTCATGGTTGGACTATTACAATATACTCTACGTGGGAATATCCTTGAAGAGTAAGTGGCAGCTTTAGCTGGTACAGAATGCAGCCACATGGGCAGCTCTTGAAGTCCCTGAGATGGCCTTTGTTACATCATTGTTCTGCCTCACTGATTGCTAGTTTGCTTCTGAGTCCAATTTAAAGGTTATCATCTTTAAAGTCCTTCATGGCAAGGGTCCATGTTATCTGAGAACAGTCTCACCCCAGTGAATAGAATAGAATAACAGAGTTGGAAGGGACCTTGGAGGTCTTCTAGTCCAACCCCCTGCTCAGGCAGGAAACCCTATACCATTTCAGACAAATGGTCATCCAATCTCTTCTTAAAAACCTCCAGTATTGGAGCATTTACAACTTCTGGAAGCAAGTTGTTCCATTGATTAATTGTTCTAACTGTCAGGAAATTTCTCCTTAGTTCTAAGTTGCTTCTCTCCTTGATTAGTTTCCACCCATTGCTTCTTGTTCTACCCTCAGGTGCTTTGGAGAATAGCTTGACTCCCACTTCTTTGTGACAGCCCCTGAGATATTGGAACACTACTATTATGTCACCCCTAGTCCTTCTTTTCATCAAACTAAACATACCCAGTTCCAGCAACCATTCTGGGTTGCTGGCATAGGGGGGTGGGATTAACCTACCCCCCTATACCAGCAGAACAGGCATGCTGTGGACCCTCTCGGTCAAGGAATTTTGACCAGCAGGAGAAGACCCTTTTGTTGCCATGGCCTGCCCTCTAGGACATCAAGATCCTCACTCACCTCATTACTTTCCAACTGGCCTGGGGTCCCAAAGGATGAATGGCATCCTGGTTAATAGATTAGACAGGCCCCACTTCTTTACTCCCTTCCTCCATCTTGGTCAATTGAATTTTAAATTTATGATCTCTACTTATTGTTTTAATGTTTTATGTGGTATTTTTATTGAATGAGTGTAAGCCGCCCAGAATCGTTTTGGCAAGATGGATGGCATAGAAGTTTAATAACTCACTAAATAAAATATATGTGTTGTAGATAGGATAGAGTTCAGTTACTGAAGTTTCTAATGCTATTCCTTTCGTCTAAAAAAAAAAAAAAATCTAAAGAAACTGTGTAAGAATAATACTTGGAGAGTACTCTCTTTCAGTCTGAGGCAAATGACAAACAATCTGACAATAATAAGGAAAATGGAAACAGAAGAATAAATTTTAAAGCATACTTGAATGAAACCAAAAAAAGTTTTGTTTTATTTTGGTTTTTTATAGAAGAAAAAAAAAACTTTCGGAAAATTGGATGGCAGGTTTTGGCCACACATTATAGATGTCAAAACTAAGGTTAAACAAAAGCAAAATAAAAGTCAATGTATTTATCCCTGCAAAGAAAGCTGTAGAAAATAGTCCAACGCTATTGTATTTCTTCCCATTCCCAGCCAGCCAGTGAAAAGCAATAATCAGTTTTGCTGTACTAAAACTTTTTCATGTTGTTTTTTTCTCTAAGCCGGATTTTGATGACAGGCGGTTAGGTCGACCAAAATCTATGCTGAGATCGTATCGTCAGATGTCCATTATTTCAATGTCCTCCATGAATTCTGACTGCGGTACACCAAACAAGATTCCTGTAGAAAGGTTAGTTATGGGCCAGCTTCCTGGCATGAGTTTTCTGCAAGATACAGATCAGGAGGGAACAGAACATATTACATTAAGAAAACATACCATGATTGAAAAGAGATAGTAAGCATCTAATTTTATTTGGTCTATAATAAAAACTATTACAAAAGTGAATGCTGCTTTTAAAAATAGCAGTGGTGGGCTGACAGCATTGAAGATTGAAACTGCATTGAGGATTTATTCACCATGCACATATTCATATAAATAATATTTGGGATGATTCTGAAAGACTTCCAAATATTGATGTCACTTTCTTGGATTACCTTTCTGCATAGTTTAACCTGATATGTAACTTTTAGTTGTTCACTAAGTTTATAGCATCATCCAGGAAAATCCCTTTTTATGAACAGTTTCGAAGCTATTCCCTAGCCAATAATCACTGAATAAATAAAATGTAGAATGTCTAGATTTAAAAAATGCTTTCTATTTTTTGGGGGGTGGGACTTCCTTTTGGCCTTCTGATAAGCCTCTGCCAAGTAGCCTGAGATCCTGTGACATTTTGGGAGTGGCTAATAGAGTAGGTACACCCCACTTCTTCCCTGTGTAGGTAACACCCCACTTCTTCCCTGTGTGTACTTGGTTCCCTCTTTTTCCATCCTGTTTGGTTTTATTTTAATTGAATTTTAGATTTAAGATCCTTATTTATTGTTATATTATTTTATAGCGGCAGCCCCTGACCTTTTGGGTGCCAGGCACTGGTTCTGTGAAGTGTGTTGTTTTTTTTTCCCCCATGGATGAAAAGAGACATGATTTTGCACTCTGTCTGGATCCTGCACATGCACAGATGGGGCTTTGCTCACTTGTGGGGCCTTGATCCTGGCTGGCTGCAGCCTGGTACCAGTCTGAGGCCCAGGGCTTGGGGACCTCTGTTTTATAGTACATTGTAGTCAATGTCTATCTATCTAGCATCAAAATCAGCGGCATACAGCTTTGATTAAATCAGTCAATCAATATTAATTTTCCTTTGATTTCTTATTTATTCCATTCCAAGCCTATTATAAACATGTTCTCAAATGAACTCTTAGGTCACTCACCTCCTTTGGTTGTCAATTCCTGTTTTCATTTCTTTCCTGACTAAGCAATGAATGCCAGCACTAAAAAGAAAAGACTTGGTAGTTGTAATGTTTTCCCTAACTAGTTTTCAGCTGCTAGGACTTCTAATTCCTGCTTTCCCTCTGGAACTGCCTGATGTCATTAGATTTGCCATATTGCAAAGAGCCTCTGCAAGGGAACAGCAGTACTGTGGGCAGATTAATTAAGTTAATTAATTTGTTTCCATTTACATCGGCAGCTTTGAACTTGAAGTCATGTCACCCAAGGCAACCGAATCTGTGTCAGAAGAAAATGGGCGTCTCATAAGCAGCCAGCCTGAAGTGAAAATGAGGAAAGGCCGGAAGAGAGAAAAGAGAAGCAGTGTCATACTCCCAGACAAAAAATCTTCTGACCTTCCTGATATGAAATGTGTAAGTTCTTGTTAACAGGGTAATTTTAGTATCTCTCATATTAGGCACATTTTAACCAATCTGTGGCCTTTAAAGACAAAATCTTGTATTCTTTCAAGATATAACAGCCAATTTGGTCAGGTGATAAACTAACATGTTGCGGAATCTGGTCTGTAGTTGACATTCTCTGGGTTAATCTGCTGCCTGATACAAGGGCAAATTGCTGGGTGGGAGATTGCTTAAGCAATCTGGAAGAGAGCAGCTGGCTGAACATCTATGGCCTCCAGTTCCAGTTGAGGTTCCTTCAAGATAAATATATGTTCACTTTGTTAAAGAAACAAAATTTCTTGTCAGGAAACCACCACTTTGCAAACGATGCCATCAACAGAGCAAAAAGATACCTCACTGGCATCTTTTTGGGGCCATTTATCATCTGAGCACTTTGATCACGCTAATTTATCATCAGTCTGAATTTATGTAACTTGTACTACAACATTTTATGACAAACCAAAGGGGGGAATGGCTTCTGAGTATTAAAAATGCAATGTCATTAAAGGGGGGAAAAAACCCCACATCAGTTCCGTAAAGAAGTTTCATCCAATTTTGTTTGCTGCCAAAAAGTAGAACTACATGAAGATCAGTTAGATCATAAATCATTTAGAAGAATTGTAACAAAATATGCATTATATTTGGACATAAGCTTTTGATCAGAAACCATTACCCCATCTATTTTTTAAGCCCGGAAGTAAATTGAGTCTCTTTGTGATTTCTCAAAACATAAAAGGAAAGCATTCATATTTTATACTATTCTAAATGCTAGGATTAGAATTTAGGGTTGTCGTTTTTAATTATGGAGGCCTAAATTGTTAATAATCAGTATGTGCTGTCCTGAAGATTTTGAAAGGAATTAAACATGAGCCTCTATGCCACTTCTTAACTAATTAAGGAAATTTAGAATTGAAAAAAATTAGAAAAACCAACTCTCTGGTATCAAAAACATAGCAAGTATATTTATGCATACATCTTCCATAACCACCACCCACACTTTTCACTTATTGTCACAATGAAAGAAGACTACTATATTTCATTTTAGAATCTGTACTGTTTTTTAAAAAAAACATAAACCTAGTTACCTACTCACAGTCTGGCTAAATGTACGTAGGGCAGGAGTGTCAAACTCACTGCTCAGGAGCGTCATGGCATCGTCATGTGATGTATTGTGACTTTTTTCCCCTTTACTAAATGGGGCATGGGCGTGGCCAATGCATGATACATCTGGACCATGGACTGAGAGTTTGACACTCCTGACATAGGGCAATCCATAACAAATACATCTAA